TCAATAAATGCAACGCTTCATCTATAATTTCTTGTTTATATTTTGAATATAGTGCCTAATGATAGAATGTCAAAAATTTAAAAATATTATTAGTTAATGGAGAGACATAGCAAAGTGAGTAAAGTATCTTACTTTTGCCTTAGCAATCCATTCATGGGGAATCTTTAATTGATCAACAGCAAATTTTTCAATACTTTCTAATTGATCACTCGGCAATGTCGACACTAAGCGGTTCAAAAGTTCACATATAACTATTTTCCGACTTTTATAATAAGTATGGAGTGAGAATAGTACGTTTTATAATATATATTAAATTGAAGCATAACAAATTTACTTACATATAAGGTTCATTTAAAAACAATGAGACAAAAAGAGCCCATTGCCATAATCCCAGAACTTCCAATTGAATCACAAAATCCAAAGTTACACGATCAGCACTTGATCCTTGATCGATAAAATCACGGATCCTAAGCGTACGCGCGAGCATGATATGTAATAACCACGTCACTCGATAATCCAGTGGCGAAGGTGTAATTGAACGAGGGAGTATTGCATCGTCAAGGGGATGAGTGCTATCGACAGAGAGCTTCAATAGATGATAATGTATATCAAATATTTCGTCCTCATTTTCGGAATCAGGCCAAGACAGCGGAGGCTTCTTTTCGAAATCCTCCTTATACCATGGTTTTGGTACCGTTGATGACTTTCGGACAGCTTCGTAATCATTGAAAGATTCTACAAAGACTTCACCTAGATATCGACCATACCATAAATGCATACTCAATGCACGTTTCCAGTCTAAACCTTGACTTGATGCCTCCACATTTCCTGCCATAATTTCGTAAAGTCTCAAATGGTTTTTAGGAATGAGTTTCACTAAACCAGTTTGACTCCAATGTTCAATTTGATTATTTATTCGATCTTTGAAGAATTGGTCGTTTCCGCCTAATTGAGATAACAGAGCCGCCAAACGAAAATCGCGATTTTTTATTGCCATCTTCGAGGCACTCAAAATATTTCTGCTAGTAAGATAACCAAAAATTGCTTCTGCTTTATCGT